AAGTTTTCAGTGCTGTTCGAGTATCTCCCGCACAATGGCACTCTCATCTTGGTCATCCAGCTACACCCATTGTTCGACATATTCTTCACCGCCATGAGTTACCGTCAGTTTCTAGTAATAAAGATGTCTCAGTTTGTGATGCTTGTCAGCAGGGAAAAAGTCATCAGCTACATTTTTCTGTTTCTAGTCATGTAGTGAAAACTCCTCTTGAGATTGTGTTTTCAGATGTTTGGGGTCCTGCTCAGATGTATGTTAGTGGTCATGAGTACTATGTTAGTTTTATTGATGCTTATAGTCGCTTTACCTGGATTTATCTTCTTAAACATAAGTCTGATGTGTTCGATGTTTTTCTTAAGTTCCAAACACACGTTGAGCGTCTCCTACAACACAAAATTCTTCATGTACAATCAGATTGGGGGGTGAGTACCACAATTTGAATTCCTTCTTTGAGAAACTTGGGATCTCGCATCGTGTGTCTTGTCCTCATACACATCAGCAGAATGGTTCAGCTGAACGTAAGCATCGTCATCTTGTTGAGACCGGCTTAACCTTATTAGCTCATGCCTCTGTTCCTTTTCGTTTTTGGAGTGATGCTTTCACTACTGCCTGTTTTCTCATCAACAGACTTCCGTCGCGACTTCTTGGCATGAAAACTCCACTAGAACTCTTGCTTCATGAGACTCCTGACTACACATTTCTCAAAGTTTTCAGTTGTGCGTGTTGGCCGCATCTCCGTCCTTACAATAATCGAAAGCTTGAGTTTCGCTCTAAAAAAATGTGTCTTTCTTGGGTATAGTCCGTTGCACAAAGGTTATAAATGCCTTCACATTCCAACAAATCGTGTATATATTTCGTGTGATGTTGTTTTTGATGAGCATGTTTTTCCTTTCTCTAATCTTCCAACTCCTGTGATCACACCAACTGAACCTGTGCATTCATCTCCTTTATTGCCTGATCAATTTGTAGATGCTGCACACTCGCCTCTTTTGTTGTCTAACCATGGTGCAGGAACTGGTAGAGGTGCTCGGCTTGTTCTCCTTGAGGATTCATCCCCTGCTCCGACAGCTTCTTCATCGGATCACGTCGATCCGGCCACTGTGCCCTCTTGCATGGCGCATGCAGGGTCTCCTACACCCGCGCCCGCCAGCCACCCGGATCCGGCTTCGGTCGCAGTGGAGCCGCGCTCCCCGGATTGCGTTGATCCTGCGCCTGCTTCCCCTGCATGGGTCATGCAGGGTCGGGTTTCATCACACCCGCTCCGCGCCCGGCCCTGGCTCGGCTGGAGCTCCCTTCGTCGCCGGTTTTCGCCTCGCCTGCCACCGGGTCGGCTTCGCCTGCATCGCCCGCGCCTACGGACGCGCCTGGCTCCTCCTGTTTGGGGACGCCCACACCTACTGCCTCGCCTCCTGGCGGTTCGTCAGTGTCGCGGGCACCATCTCCTGTAATACCTTCTTCTCAGGAGACGCAGGCTACTTCATCGACGGTTCCTGAAATCTCCATCGCGCCAACTGCTCAGGTTGCTCCGCGACCACACACTCGCAGCAAGAGTGGTATATTCAAACCGCTTGAACGCACCGATGGCACGGTTGCCTGGCTCGCGGCCTGTATAGCTCACTCTGCAACTGATCCTTCTGCTGAACCCCATCATTATCAAGCAGCTCTGGGTATTCCTCACTGGCGATCTGCAATGGAACAAGAGTATCAAGCATTGCTCAAAAATGGTACGTGGCGTCTTGTTCCTCCGCACAGTGGTGTCAATATAATTGATTCTAAATGGGTATTCAAAGTTAAGCGACATGCTGATGGCTTTATTGAACGGTATAAGGCTCGGCTTGTTGCTCGTGGGTTCAAACAACGTCAAGGTCTTGATTATGATGATACCTTCAGTCCTGTGATCAAGCCGACGACTATTCGCATGCTCTTGTCTCTTGCAGTTACTCGTGGGTGGTCTCTTCGACAGCTCGATGTTCAGAATGCCTTTTTGCATGGTGTTCTTGATGAAGAGGTCTATATGCGTCAGCCACCTGGGTTTGTTGATCCTACTCGTCCACAGCATTTGTGTCGTTTGGTCAAGGCTCTCTATGGTCTCAAACAGGCGCCACGTGCTTGGCATGCACGTCTTGCTTCTGCTCTCCGTGCACATGGTTTTGTTCCATCGACAGCTGATACTTCCTTGTTCATGCTACAGCGCCCTACGGTCACTATGTACCCGTTGGTGTATGTTGATGACATCATCTTGATCAGTTCGTCGGTTCTTGCTGCCGATCGGCTTGTTTCTGCTTTGAGTGCTGATTTTGCCATTACAGATCTTGGTCGGCTCCATTATTTTCTTGGCTTAGAGGTTTCTCATTCGGATGCCGGTCTGACTCTTACTCAGCATAAGTACTCTCTGGATTTGCTTCGTCGTGCTGGTATGCTTCAGTGTAAGCCTGCTTCCACTCCCATGACAGCTTCTGATAGACTCTCTGCACTTGATGGTACTCTTCTTCCTTCAGATGAGGCTACAACGTATCGCAGCATTGTTGGTGGCTTACAGTATTTGACAATTACTCGTCCTGATATCTCTTATGCGGTGAACAGCGTCTGCTAGTTTCTTCATGCTCCTCGGGACACTCACTGGACTGCTGTGAAACGTATTCTGCGCTATGTTCGGTTGACTGCTGTTTTGGGTCTGCACCTTCGGCCTGCCCCTTCCGGTAGTCTTTCCGCGTTCTCTGATGCAGATTGGGCTGGTAGCCCTGATGACAGGCGATCCACGGGGGGATATGCAGTGTTCTATGGTCCTAACTTGATCGCTTGGAGTGCTCGTAAACAAGCTACAGTGTCTCGTAGTAGTACTGAAGCTGAATACAAAGCAGTTGCCAATGCCACTGCTGAACTTATCTGGGTTCAGGCCTTGCTTCGAGAGTTGAGAGTCCCTCAGCGCCATCCACCTGTTCTTTGGTGTGACAACATCGGTGCTACGTACCTTTCTTCAAATCCGGTATTTCATGCTTGAACGAAACACATTGAAGTTGACTATCACTTTGTCAGAGAACGAGTTTCACAGAAGTTGCTTCAGATCAAGTTCATTCCATCAAAGGACCAGCTTGCCGACATCTTCACGAAGCCATTGCCATTACCTCAGTTTGAGGGTTGTCGTCGCAATCTTAATCTTCTGAATTCTTCAGACCATGGTTAAGATTGAGGGAGGGTGTTAGACTCATAGACTTGTACGTATTGTAATCTTAGTACATGTTGTATTTGTACCCGATGAGGTACCCCCTTGTTATATATATGTTACAGAGGCCGACCCCTAGAGGTGTCGAAGCCCATAACCCCAAAACCCTTTGTCTATCAGTGACTGATTTAATTTATGATTAGAACTCCATTCAAGATTCAGACTCTATGCAACCATAAATATTGTTGAGAACTGAATTAGGCTCAAATCCTACTGTACTGGTGTATAATCCCTAACCATCCGCAGGGATTGTGTCTAACATGGGCAAATGCAAATCAACAAGGATTGAATCAGTCAACTAGAAAATTGAATTATAGATCATATCTAAACCATGAAAAAATAAATTTACATGCAACGAAACTAACTCACATTGATGAAATATTATACATATATTATATTTAATTATAATTCCCTTTTTTATCTGGAAAGATTTTTTTTTAAGTTGAAGTGTTGAATTGTAAGGGAATGTAATTTTAGTTCCTTATTATGCCCGTCTTTTTTGGCGCGCAAGTCCTAGTACCCTTTTTTCCAAACTTTAATAGAGTAGATAATCTAACACATGACCTAAAATAAAATTGTATGGTAAACTCAAGAAAGTAATAATTTATCTATCTATTTATTATTTTCAAAAATAGAGAATGTTATAATAGTAACGATATTGCAAGAACTAAATTAGCTCGCCGAGAGCATGTATTGAAAACGGTTTGATTCAAGGAAAGTCGATAGTTTTTTATTCTTTAATGGTATGAAGGTGTGAAAGCATGTTGATTCTAGACTAGGAAGATCAAAGGAAGGTCCTAGCAAGAACGAACAAAGTGCATGACTAAAAAGAAGGAAGCAAAAACGGAGAAAACTACTCAGTGTTTACTAAAATATACGATATATATGTTTTTCATATTCTTGAATGAGTGAATGGCCAATAATATTTGTATGAATTTGCACACAAATAACTACAAAATGATTGTACAACTATTTAGATTGGCAAATATTTTCTTTTGGCTTGCTAAGAACTATTATTATAGGAAATCTATGGTACGATTTATGTCTAAAAGATCCAAATTATTTTTCAGGGATTCGTGGTCAACATATACAGAAGTTCGACGACACGTTATTATTGCAACAGAGCTAGTGTATTAACTTTTCATCACATATGAGAATTTAAACAAACCAACTCATTATATATATGTACCAAAAGTATATTCTTTTCATGCATATCTCCAAACCAATTTACTCATTCCTGTGTGTTATGGACAGGCATCATGTTGTACTACATGCATCAAGTACGTTGAATCGTAAACCAATACATCAACATCCAAGTTGCTAAAATAAAATAATATCTAGCTCCCACTTACAACACGCTAGAAAACCACATGTAATATGGACCTTTTGGAGGGTGCAAGCATGAAAAATCTCCACCATCACTTCAAATTAAGCACCACAAACTAAATATGCCGCCAGCATATCACTCCACTTCCACAAAATACGTGTACACTTGTAAATGCATCCATCCAAAATAGAAACACCACATTATCTATATATACACCGCCAACACATGTGTACACACCCCACATCAACCACCTCATCATATTGTCTCCAACCCTAGCTAGAACAGCATCTCATCGATCTTAACCTGTAAACATCCACAACACAAGAAAAACAGCACATCATTATTTGCATATGTACCTGGCTTAGCTTAGCTAGCAGCAAAGCCCACACAAGCACACAGACACACACACTCCAGAGAACACCAGGCCAAGAAACCACAGAAAAGCAACCAGCCATGGGGGTGGAGATCCTGAGCTCCACGGGGGAACACTCCTCCCAGTACTCTTCCGGGGCCGTGTCCACGGCCACGACGGAGTCGGGCGTCGGCGGACGGCTGCCGACTGCGCCGAGCCTGCCTGTCGCCATCGCCGACGAGTCCGTGACCTCGCGGTCGGCATCGGCGCAGTCGGCGTCGTCGCGGTTCAAGGGGGTTGTGCCGCAGCCCAACGGGCGGTGGGGCGCCCAGATCTACGAGCGCCACGCGCGCGTCTGGCTCGGCACGTTCCCGGACGAGGACTCGGCGGCGCGCGCCTATGACGTGGCCGCGCTCCGGTACCGGGGCCGCGAGGCCACCACCAACTTCCCCTGCGCGGCCGCAGAGGCGGAGCTCGCCTTCCTGGCGGCGCACTCCAAGGCCGAGATCGTCGACATGCTCCGGAAGCACACCTACGCGGACGAGCTGCGCCAGGGCCTTCGTCGCGGCCGCGGCATGGGGGCGCGCGCCCAGCCGACGCCGTCGTGGGCGCGGGAGCCCCTCTTCGAGAAGGCCGTGACCCCGAGTGACGTCGGCAAACTCAACCGCCTCGTGGTGCCGAAGCAGCACGCCGAGAAGCACTTCCCCCTGAAGCGCACGCCGGAGACGACAACGACAACCGGTAAGGGGGTGCTGCTCAACTTCGAGGACGGCGAGGGGAAAGTGTGGAGGTTCCGGTACTCGTACTGGAACAGCAGCCAGAGCTACGTCCTCACCAAGGGTTGGAGCCGCTTCGTCCGTGAGAAGGGCCTCGGTGCCGGCGACTCCATCGTGTTCTCGTGCTCGGCCTACGGGCAGGAGAAGCAGTTCTTCATCGACTGCAAGAAGAACAAGACGATGGCGAGCTGCCCCGCTGACGGCGGCGCCGCAACGGCGTCGCCGCCTGTGGCAGAGGCAGCTAATGGAGAACAAGTCCGTGTCGTGAGGCTGTTTGGCGTCGACATCGCCGGAGAGAAGAGGGGGCGAGTGGCGCAGGCGGAGCAGGAGTTGTTCAAGAGGCAATGCGTGGCACACAGCCAGCACTCTCCTGCCCTAGGTGCCTTCGTCTTATAGCATCTGCACATACAGCTCTATATTCCTCTCCGGTTCTCCTCCGTCTTTATTCTGGTTGTTACATGCATGATATATGTTGATCTGTCTGTGGATTAGAATAATTTTGTTCCTGAATTTTGCATAGAACTCGTTCTTAAGTCCGATTGCAAAATGAGTTGTATGTAATTATGTGTGTGTAGTGTGTACACCACTAGGAATTCTAGCTAGAGAGATCATAATAATCCTACGATGTTGTTGCATATATATATCTATATATGTACTATCATCTTGACACATCAATAGATTCATTCTGCCATCTAATTAAGAGATGTGTTTCCTGTATGTTTCAATCAAGATTTGTTCACTACTCCAATTGATATCCCTCGCAACCACATAAGCAAGCAATAAGAAACCATTGCTAAATCAGTATTTTCCATACATGCATGGAAAATTATGGGCATTGAGAGCTTACACATGACAAATAATTGAATTGTTTGCTGTCATGGATTGTGTTACATTCACATGGCTAAATTTGTCAGTTTTATCTTCATTTGCATTCATTTTTGGCATATGTTGCTATATCTTGCTTCAGTGGGTCTCCGTTAGATATGATTGAACATCTCGCTCACACTAGATGCTTCAACTTCATCATTCTTACATTAGTATTTCATATACCAAAAAGGAGTGCATTAATTTATATGTACCTATCAATCAAGTAATGTTTATCTTCATGTTAGTTTTCAACTTTTGCCTGTATAATGTTCACGACCCTATTGTTTAAGATCTTGCTAGCTTAAATTATAATATTACATCAATCTACTGCACCTCTTTAAAATGATCAGAAGCTTTACCAAACCATGAATATACTACTAAGGGACACTTAGGTTTATATGAATCCCTATTTTGTTTCTGAGCTTTGAGTTATGTAACAATCTGACCATATTGTTATTGACCAGATTTGTTAGTGTAAACAGCATATATACGACTGCGGAGAAGTATATTGATGACTACCTAAAACTGAGCCATGATAGATTTATACGAAGCGGAAAAGATTGAATACCATCTATGTTTGCATGCATACAAGTAAGAAGTAATATATTTGATTTTACTTGCTTCTTGGTCTTCGATTGTGTTATAGTTGACTTGATTAGTTCGCTCACATAGCTAAATTTCTCCATCGCTTTCTCATGTTTTGTAAGAAGTAATACATACCTGGTATCGAAGAGGTATGTGTATGATTTTTTTTGCGGGAAAGGTATGTATATGCTTTAAAACATGATATGTGAAGTAACTTTTTCTACAAATGATTTTCATGCAAATAACACTATCTAATAGATACTAGAACAAAGGGTAGTAAGTAGTAACCTAGCTAGGTCAGTTATACGTATGTACTTATTTCATAAGAGCCTCACTTAAATTTCTGATCAAGGTATTTCACATCAATATATGAAAGCTTCTATCTCTGATGAAAATTTAGCATCTTTTGCATAAGTAACACACCGTGCTGATTAAATGTCATTTTCTTATTTTAATAGATGCATGCACATTACACACACTGTAAATTTAGAATAATGTACTGAAGTTATGGATGTACTCATGTTATAAATATGTTCACATACAAAAAATGAACAAACCATAATCGTACATTGGAGAAAAGCAACAAGGTTTGTTGTAGTTGCAGGCTTGCAGCCAGTTGATTTTCTGTATTGAGCATGCCCAGTTGGTCATATTTCTGTGCTGTCTTTTATGGTTGCACATGGTCAATCATGTTTTCGAGCACACAAGTATTTTTCTTTGTATATGTACTTAGATAGGCTCCATTATGTTGTTTCAAATAGATGCCACATCTCTGCTTTATTCCAATATATGTGTCAATTATGTGATCTGAAGATATGTTAACATCCAGGAATCATAAATATCTCAACAAACAGTCTGAGTTATATTGGAGACAATATGGTAGAGATCGTACCCATTGCTAAATGGACATGTCATGATTGCTGACTATCAAAAAAAAATACCAATCCACAAGTGGTATATATTTTTTCGGAAATACTAACGCCCACACGTGTGGGCGTTTGCATCTCGCCGACACGCATGGATCAACGTCGGTTTGAGTTTGCACGAATCTTGGCATGTTTTGCCAGATTTTTTTATGCCACGTAGGATTGAGCTGGTGTGTGGGCATTCATCCGATCACCCACACGTCTGTTTCCCCACGCGGAGGTGTTGGTGTGTGGGCGTTTAGCAGTTCGCCCACACGTTAGTTTTCAACGCACGCAGAGGGGCTGGTGTGTGGGTGTTTATCAGTTCGCCCACACACCCGTCTCCTCTCCCACACCCAAAGCTATCAATTGCCATGTGTATTGCTGGGTACATGGCAATTGCCCTAGTATGCTTGTAAGCAGATGGCAACTCTCTCTTTACCCGACCATGTTATTTTGCCATGTCTTTTTGCAGTGCTACATGGCAACTGCCTAGTGTTTAGTAGATGACAACTCCTAAAGATACCACCGCGCCCACACGCCCGTCTCCTCTCCCACACACAAAGTTGTCAGTTGCCATGTGTTTTGCAGGGTACATGGCAACTGCCCCTAGTGTGCTTGTAAGCAGATGGCAACTCTCTCTTTACCCGACCATGTTATTTTGTCATATCTTTTTGTAGTGCTACATGGCAACTGCCTAGTGTTAGTAGGTGGCAACTTCTAAAGTTTTCAAATCATGGCAACTATAGTAGACCACGCCACACATGGCAACAGCTGCAGTTGTCTAAAAATGGCATCTGGCAGTTGACCTGAGATGGCAACTGCAGTTGAGCAACCATGGCAACTATAGTTGTCCGACATGGCAACTGTAGTTCAGCAACATGGCAACTATAGTTGTCCGACATGGCAACTGTAGTTCAGCAACATGGCAATTGCAGTTAAATGAACATGGAAGAGGGTCCGGACCATGACAACTGCGGGGACGCGTGGTGACTGTCACGCGGGGCACGCGCGACCATGAGGTAGGAGGCCTGACGTACGGATGTGTGGGCGTTATCTATTTTGCCCACACGTAGGCGTGTGGAGGGACCGCGAGGCAAAAAAGAGGCGTGTGGGCATTACTTGTTTTGCCAACACGTAGGCGTGTGGGCTGGTTCTCTTAGACACCACACAAAACGTGTGACCAGACTCCTTAACGTTCACACGTGTGGGCGTTATCGGCTACCTTTTTTTTGAAGGAAAGGACGGGGACCAATTCATAGTAATATTGTACACCCACTATAATTCGCTATTTAGCTAGGCAACTTGCCGATTGATATGCAATAACAGCAGCCAACTTGCATGAGCAGGAACTACTAGGTGGGTTCATTGTACCCACTCAACATTACATTCAGTTAAGCTTAAGTCTACACAGAGATATTGCTGGGATGTTGTATGCAGGACCCGCGATGCAGCATCAATAATAGGACCACAGTTTTAGAAAAGCTAGACACCACTTGGACCCTCGATCTATGACACACACAGGCTACAAATGACACAAAATAAAAAGGCATATATGTACTCCCTCTGTCCGCGAATAAGTGTATGTCTAGCTTTTGTCTTAAGTCAAGGTTTTGAAATTTTGACCAACTATATACAAAAGAGTAATAACATATATGACATCAAATTGGTATATTATGAAAATACATTTCAAAATAGATCTAGTGATATTAATTTAGTGTCATAAATGCTAGTACTTTTCCCTATAAAGTTGGTCAAAGTTTTAAAATTTTGACATAGGACAAAAGTTAGAAGTACATTTATTCGCGGACGAAGGGAGTACAATGAAACATCCCAGCTTCAACTGGTGAAATATCTTGGCATGCTTTCACTTCCAACACCCATATAGATTAAGACATGAGAAAACCCATGAAAAGACCTCATATTTTCTGCTTCAACATCCATATAAATATTTAACTTCGTGAAAAGACACATTTACATCTATTATATAGGCTTAGACTATGAGAAAACTTGTGAAAATACCTCATGTTTTCTGCTTCAACATCCATATAATTATGTAACTTCATGAAAAGGCACATTTACATCTATTATATAGGCCTAGATTATGAGAAAACTGATGAAACGTCCTCATTTTTTCGGCTTCAACATCCATATATTTCTTAATTAAGGATGTTTGTGGTGAAACAATTATTGTTTTTGTTATGGTCTCTTATATCTGCAGTTATCTTGTTAGTTAGCGATGTTCTAACAAAGCGGTACATGTTCTGTTTCACAAAGATGGGAGAATTCTCCAACTCATGTGGTCTACATCATTTTTATTGCATCTAAATATTAATAGGGATTCATACTAGCTTCCACTATAGTTAGCATAAAAGGTTGGACCTCACCGTGATAACCGGGATTTAAATTATTGCATAGACGTTGCACACGCGATTTTCGTAATTGAGATCATTTCAATTTGTTGGTAAAGAATGTTTCACTTTGTAGGTGCCATAGTTTAGGCCCCGCTTAGATCATAGGCTAAGTGTTCTTTTCTCTCCTTATATCTTCTCCTATAGGGTTCCCCGTTAAGAGTCACTTATGTACAGTGGTCGACCCACTTCCCTATGTGCTCTGCTTGCCGGAGAAGAGAAGGGAAAGGAGCATGGCTAAGATGTGTACATATCACGTCTAGCCAGAGTCTTGCATTTAGGGCATATATTGTCATGTTGGAGTCGGAGCATGCCATTGCCGTATTTGAGCTGTCCACGGTGACTATCAGCGGCCTTCCTACAGTGTGCAACCGAAGGAAGCAAAACCAGTGTTTCCCTAAGTAAGCTCGCTAGGTCAAGGCCTTCCCTTCTTCCATTGATTTGGTGGCCGTCGTGATGGAGTTGGAGAAGCTGGGAGGTGGAGCTCGAGATCCTGGCGACTGGGAAGTAGCTCGCCTACATGGGCGATTGCAGAGGAACTACAACACTTGTTGTGATCTTCGGCTAGTGGCGATCGAAAGTCGGTCTTCAATGCATCTCTGGTGTATCTTCTGGCCAAAGGGTGGCC